TATATTTTTTAAATTAATATTTATTAAATAATAATACAATTTTTATTTTTTTAAAAAATTTTTCCAAAAAATTTTGGATACCACTATACATATATACAGTATATATTAATAATTAAACTATGATTTTGCAATTTAATATATATTTTTTTAAAAAATATATATTTATAAAATAATTAATCAATACAAATTATATTAATTAAAATTAAATTATTTATAGTATATTATTTAAATTATTTTTTATTTTAAATTATGTAATTATAAAATTAATTTTGATTTTTAATTTGTTGAATAATATAAAATAATTTATAATTAATTAAAAATTAATCTTGAAAATTTTAATAGATTATACAATTTTTTCATTTTTATTTTTTTTTAAAATAAAAATAATCATATATAACCATATATTCTATTAAATAAGTTTAAAATTTTATTTTTTTACAGTATATGATATTATTAAAATGGTTTGGAATATTCTAGAATTTTTATATAGAATTTTTATCAAAAGAAATTTTGCTTTTATTTTTTATAAACATTAATTTGTTTATTGTTTGTGTGTGTTTTGTAACAAAAAAAATTAAGTTTTATTTATTATATTTGAATGAAAACATTTTATTAAAGAAAAACAAATGTCTTCAAAAAACGAAAAAACAAACAACGGTTTCTGTTCCCATTTTTTTTTTTTTTTTCAGTTTGGCTGTGTTTGACTTGTATTTTAATGCTATATACAATACGCTTTAAAAAATTCTTTGTTTATTATCCCTATTTACCACGTGACCACTTGTTTTTGAGAGTCGCGTGAAAATTGCTAACTATAACGGGCAACCGAAACGAGTCGTTAATCTGTAAATAGACGATTTGAAAATCATAACAATGTGGTAATACCTAAGGGTGGAGCGTAAAAAAAAAAAAAAAAAAAAACGGGCCCGTCGAATAGGTGAAATCTTGTTTATCAATAATAAACTACTTTATACTTTGAGATTATCTGTAATTATTCTTTTGCGGATATTTAACTCATGGTTGACCGCGGGTACTCTATTAAGTATCTATTCCTAATGAGGTCTATGGACACATGGTCAGGTTACCTCTTTAGTTCGGCACGATATTCTTTTATTGACAACAGAAAATTTTCCAGTTACACTACCGATATGTTATCGTGGAATCCACGTTTGTCACAAGTTTCGTCCTACGGTACGATCTTAAATGTACGATATCCTCATATGTAGAATTTATATATATATATATATATATTTACTTTTATCGAGGAGACGCGAATAATAATCGTTGACGATCCATTTTCTTATCCTCTATAAAAAAAAAAAAAAGATTTTTTTAAGTGATACCTGAAACTTTCGTAAAAAAAACTATCTATCCTTCTTAAAAACGTTTTCTACCTTTTTACACTTCGGCAAAGAGTGAAGGACGCGTTCGAGTAATCAAACGAATACATAGCAATACAACTAGCAAAACGGTTGTCCGATAACGTATAAACATTGAATTAGGATTTGTTTGACAGTACAATGGAGGTAGGTTCACGAAACGTTTTCTTGTAACCTAAAACGTTTCGTTGACGTCTCTCCGCATGTTTCCTTCACAGAGCGTACCCAGAATGGAAGAGAAAGAAGCAATCGAGGACAAGGACTTGAAAGAGCTTGTCGAGCAACTTCAGAAGGATCCAATCTTTGACCATACGCGCGAATATGTCGATATAGTTGAGGTAAGGCGAAGAGGATTTTCGGCTGACTTTCGTCTTTCCGAAAACTTTGTTTATGCAAAAGTCAATAATTTTCGGAATGCTCAATTAACGAATTCTCGGGTCATTTAACCATTAGGTCGCAAAGCGAATACGTCTTGGTTTGGAATATGCATCATTTAAAATCAAAAATGGTTGGGAAAAATACGATGTGGCAACTTGTGAGATGTTGTTCGAAGAGAAGATGCGTATAAATGCGATTCCCATTCCGAAGATGATGCAGAAATTAAGAAGTGTTATTCAGACTCATGACTTGGATTTACATCATACAAGATCTGGAAGTGGATCAATGTATGATATGGGAACCGATTCAAAGCCTCCTAGTCCTACGGTGGTGCCTTCCAATTTAGATCTCTATTCGGGAGATGCTTTCTCTCAACAACCACCTTTCCAATCTCCCGCTCCTTTTAGACTTTCCGGATCGAAAGCTGCGGCCATCTATGAATATTTAGATTCACTAGAATTTCCTTTACATGATTCGTGCATCATCCATAATCCTGCAGAACCTTTTTCGGAATCTGTTTCATCAAATTTTCTAAATCAAATTGATGATTCATCATCGCTAAAGTCTAATTTGACAAGAAAATCAAAGAAATCTCGTGATCAATTCACTGATACGAAACGCAAGCGTCGTTCGCGCAAGGCTACGGACGAAGATGAAAAGTTTGAACCGATTCCCGAAGAACATTCGCTCGATCATCCGTCGTCATCCACGCTGGTAGGTTCAAACACAGATAAGATACAGCAAATTCCAATGTTCATTCCTGCGACATCCAAGATACCAGAGCCAAGTCATGAGACTAGTCGTGTGATAAGCAAAGCACCCATAATTTCAGAGACTATATTAAGAGCACTGGAGACGACGCCGAAAAAGAAAACCAAGAAGCGAAAGTCTGCAACCAAGTTCACGAAAAAGGCAAAATCAAAACGAACAAGGCGGAACGAGCCATCGGTTGATGAGGAGATGGATGTAGAAGATCCTTTTGGAATTGAAAATGAATCACCGACGCAAAAAGCTACAATGTCACCGAACACACTGTTCAACGAACTTTGGGCGACTGCGAGTACTGTGGTTCCTCAAAAGACTGCAATAACATCCAAATCTCCTGGGCAATTATTTAATGAACTTTGGGCTACTTCGAATGGAGTTGAACAAAAAAGTAGGAAAATCACAGGTCCTGAGTCGACATTAGCGACCTCTCTGTCGCCTGATTCTTTTCTCGACGAACTTTTGCATTCTAGCACAAATTTCGAGGAAGAGAAGACGACAAAAGATAATATTGCGGAATCCACCCAGACGCTTTCAATGTCACCAGGGACAATCTTCAGAACTGCATTGGACGATTGGGCGGCTGTGGATTCTACGTTTTCCGATACAATACTTTCTCATTTGCCTCATATTCCCTCATCACCGTTAGCATCATCACCCCCGCGTACGCCGCCGAGGAGAACTTGCGTGCACTCACTCACTCCGATTATTCCTTCTTCAACACGGCAATTATCGACCATCACAGATCTTGAGCCTCCAAGAACTCCGCCGCACAAAATTCGTTCATCGATTGACATGACGACAACTCCGAACTCGGCCTTTTCGTTAAGTGAATTTATTAATATGTCACCCGAAAGGCCAACGCAATCAAACTTGGGTAGATCATTCAACGAATCACGGTGGACATAAAAAAAAAAAAAAGGGGATGATTGGATGATGGTTAAACGGAAAATAAATAAAAATCAAAGCACCAGACTTTTTATTAAACGAACATTTGATTGAATTTGTTTTTTTTTTTTTTGTTTTTTTATGAAGAAAAAAAAAAGGGATCGGGAAAAAAAAGAAAAGAGAAATAAATGATGTCTGAATCAAGAAATTATATAATTCATCGACAGATTGGTTTTGTCATGTGTAGATTAGTTGCCGCAATGAAAAACTTTTGTTGGTAATTTATTTCCGTAATCTAGTCATCTATGAGTTACAAGATTTTTACTGTTGTAGATAACCGATAATATAATAAATTATGTGCGTATAGAGCATGTGATTAGAGTGTGACATACGTCATTATTACCAAAAAAATTTATAAATACAGCCTTTTTTTTGTAATGGTTTTTCACAATTTCCAAAATTTAAGTCGTCGTTGCCTCTGTTGCATGCAAAAATGCCTCAAACACCTTCTAAACGACGCTTGCAAGACGGTATGTCTTGTGCATTTTTCTTAGCTAGCCTTTAGCGTCTTGTCAGTTTTTCTCTGTACGATAAATCATGTTATATATTAAATTAATAAAAATATTGGATCCAACAAAAGCGGATTTCCAAATTATGGCTCGTCGACAATTATTTTTATTTCTTGTTTTTGAACTTTGGAATTTTGTTTTATTTATTTTTTTTTCGATTTTCGAACTGGAAAATTTTTGAACCACTATATTAAAAATAACTGGATTCATAAATTAGATGAAGAATATACACCCTCTCCTGGCCTTTCAAAGAACTTAAAAAAAAGGAAACTACCCAAGAAGCCTGATAGTGTATACACTCCCAGTACTGCCGAAGATTTGAACAAAGATGGTCTAAAAGATGGACCGAGTATGTTTTCAATGTTTCTATGAATTATTTTCCTTTTGCCGGAATTTCTCTCAATTCCTTGTGAAATTTGAAAAAAAAAAAAAAAACTAGTCATTCCAAAGATCGCAACTATGGTTTTGGATAAGGAACTTGCGAAATTTCCCACGTACCAGCATAAGCGTGATTCGGTGTCAGATCTATTTGGAAAAAATGATTATTCTTTTGTAAGCTTGAAGAAAGACCATGGAAACAGACCTCTGTGGATAAACCCTGTTACGGGAAATATAATCCTTGAAGGATTCTCTCCTTTCGCAGAGAAAGCACAAGACTTTTTGATCACTATCAGTGAGCCGGTTAGTAGGTAGGTCTGCACATCTGCATCTCCACGGTTTACGTAAGAAGCGGATACGAGAGTAATTTAATTTTCGTTCATTGTATAGACCAAGCTTGATACATGAATATAAGATGACACCGTATTCTTTGTACGCGGCGGTTTCGGTGGGTTTGGAGACTGATGCGATAATAGATGTCTTGAAAATTTTGTCAAAGGTGGGTTGGTGTTGTCCTGATTGTTACCGCTTTTCTCATCATCATCATAATTTTTTTTTTTCTGAGACGATCGTGATTTGTTGCAAACTTCTATTAGACAGACATTCCCGAGAGTCTCATAGAGATGATCAAAAAATGTACCGTATCCTATGGGAAGGTGAAGCTTCTACTAAAACATAATAAATATTTTGTGGAATCGTCGCATGCAGACGTATTGCAAAGACTCTTGCAAGATAAGGACATTGCCGATGCTCGAATAGTTAGCACGGATGATACGAATGGTAACGAATTTATAAAAAGCAAAGCTCCGTCTGGCAAGGACTTGGTAATAGCCGGCAAAGTTCAGAACGATCAGCAGCCTTCCGAAGATAAGAACAACGAGGCTAATCGGGATGACGAACTTTTTAATACCGTGGTTGCTATTGACAAAGGTAACTAGAATTGTCTTTCGTGTGCGTGGATCATGATCTTCTCGATGTCTTTTAATGATGATCATCGATTAAAGAGGATGAAGAGGATGACGAAGATGAAGTTCATTCATTTGAAATCATGCCAGAGAAATTTGAGGTGACTTATCATCACTTTGTGAATGTACAAGAATAATCTCGTAGAGACAACCGGTATATAAATTTATCTAACATATTGACTTATCGATAGACTGTTAGGAGACGTTGTAACGAACTGAATTATCCCATGTTGGAGGAATACGATTTCCGAAATGATTCGAGTTTGGCACCTCTTGACATCGACTTAAAACCTATCACCGTCATTAGGCCATATCAGGAAAAGTGCCTCAGTAAGATGTTTGGGAATGGGTTTGTACTATAGGCAAAAAAAAAAAATTTTTTTCGAGTTTTTCTCGCGCGCTGAAATCTGTTTTATATTATTGTAGCCGTGCAAGGTCAGGTATTATAGTACTGCCTTGTGGTGCCGGTAAGACTCTTGTCGGTATAACGGCTGCTTGTACGATCAAAAAGAGTTGTCTTGTTCTCTGTACATCGGCGTCAGTATCTTATCCTGTCGTCTATCAACTTTCTGTTGTGCATAATGCATCGTAGTTAATTTTTTTGTTTGATATTTAGTGTATCTGTGATGCAGTGGAAGCAGCAGTTCGTGCAGTGGTCTAACATAAAGGAAAGTCAAATTGCAGTTTTCACTTCGGATCAAAAGGAAAAGGTAAAAGGGCCGGTGGTTGATTTGGAAATTCATTATTTCTATCGTTCTATTCGAAGGTCATCTTAGTTTTTTATTTCGTTGATGTCAAATTAGTTTTTTGGTCACTCCGGCATCGTGATTTCAACTTACAGTATGGTTGCCAACACTCGAGTTAGATCTTATGAGGCGACGAAGATGATGGAATTTATTACAGGACGAGAATGGGGTTTCATCCTGTTGGATGAGGTCCACGTCGTCCCCGCGAACATGTTTCGGAAAGTGGTAACTACGATAGCGGCTCATACAAAACTCGGTCTGACCGCAACGCTTGTTCGTGAGGACGAGAAAATTGAAGATCTGAATTTCTTGATTGGACCTAAATTATATGAGGCCAATTGGATGGACTTGGCTTCGAAGGGACACATCGCAAACGTTCAGTGTGCCGAGGTGTGGTGTCCCATGACGCCGGAATTCTATGCAGAATACCTGAAGGCTCCGTCTCGGAGGCGTAATTTGTTATACGCAATGAATCCGAACAAAATTCAGGCATGTCAGTACCTAATTAAGTATCATGAGAATCGCGGGGACAAAATCATTGTGTTTTCAGATAACGTGTATGCCTTAGAGGTAATGTCCTTTTTCGATTCGATTGTTGCAAGTCAGTCGCAATTGCAGTTGAAATCTCTAATTGCCTTTTACTAATTTAGCGGTACGCCATAGATTTTCAAGTACCATTTATTCATGGTAAAACGAAGCCTCAAGAAAGATTGCAAGTTCTTTCGATGTTTCAGCACAGTCCCACCGTCAATACGATCTTTCTTTCCAAGGTGAAATTATCATCTGTCGCAAAAGTGTGTGCACGTGCATTTCATGGACTGACACGTTCTCTTCATTTAGGTCGGTGATACGTCCATTGATTTACCGGAGGCAACCTGTTTAATTCAAATTTCATCGCATTATGGTTCCAGACGTCAAGAGGCACAACGACTTGGTGAGATTCGGACCTTCTGCATCCAAAACGTTTTAAATGCATCATTAACATATAATGATATTTACAGGTCGTATTCTCCGAGCCAAGCGTCGTAACGATGAAGGCTTTAATGCATTCTTCTATTCTCTCGTTTCCACTGATACGCAAGAGATGTATTATTCGACGAAGAGACAACAATTCCTTATTGATCAAGGGTACGCTTTTAAGGTCATCACCTCGCTGGAGGGTATGGACAAGGCGCAAAACTTGGCTTACCGGGAACGTGATAAGCAGATGGCTTTATTAGCGGAGGTTTTGATTGCTAATGACGATGCTGCTGAGCTTGATAATGATATTGATGCCAACGTGGATGATCTGCCCGGCACGATTACTAGTCGAAACTTTTCTTATAGACAGAAGGTCGCCCGGCGTTCCATGGGGAACATGAAAAGCTTATCAGGTGCAGACGATATGGCATATTATGAGGGAAATGGTGGAAGCCATGGCAAGTCAGCACAAAAGAAAAAGGACGCTAAGAAAGTTCATCATCCGTTGTTTAGAAAAAACTGGTTATAAGGAACTTTTTCTCAAACCCAGAAAACATATGGACTTTAGTAATAATACATTTTTTTAGTTGCAATCTTTAGAATGTTGGGCAGGCATATTCTATTATTATGGTTGAACCATACACACCAAGCATACATATATATATTGCACGCATACATCTGTTAGACTTGGGGAATTGAGCGTGGCATTTTTTCTTTGTACTATTGCAATATATCATGTTCATAACAAAAATTTATTCTGCAAATAAAAAAGTTTTCTTTGCTTAATTCCCTAAATGACAGAATTTACTTCATTAAAGTTGTTTGTGTTCTTAACTAATGTGCCTTAATTAATCTCGATCCCATCGAATCAGCTTGCAAACTTAGCGAGTCACCTGTGTACTATAGCACGCTTCAATTCATGACTACTTTAATTATAAACATTTTATATGAACTTTTGTGTTTAACAAGAAACACTAGATACGTGTTACTACAGTAATTATTAGTCACACTTGTCAAAGAAGTTGTCAACGAACTATCTAAGAATTTATCGCAGTATACTGTTTATTAGACGTCAAAACGAATTCGAGATCGATGGTACAACTGATATAAAAGATCAAAGAAGGTATGCGTGATCTATAAAACCCGGAATAAAATTATTATGATAATTATAAATAATAATAGACCAGTACCTTTACTATACCTTTTTTTTTTAGCCTAAACCGAATGTTGAAGTATCAACTATTAATGGATAATTGTCTAATATAAGGAATATATTATTGAAGAGATGATAAATGATCTACATACTATGTAAACCATTTTTTAAAAGGAATTGTTTTTTCAAGGTAAAACTTTTTTGAAAGCTCTTACTCGAGCACACCTATTGAATTATTTTTTATGTCAAGAATTTGTGAACTGATGAATAATCTAAAAACTTTTATATTAAATTAATTTTCTAAATGCATTTTATAATTTGTAAAGTTGGTTAAAATTATATAATTGAATAAAATAACATAAAGTCGGATAATAATTAATTAAAATTAATATAAAGCCAGACAAAATTAAGATGACTAATTAAAATTAACATAAAGTTAGATAAAATTAAAATAACTGATTGGAATTAATATAAAGTTAATCAAAATTAAAATAGTTAATCAAATTTAATATAAAATCAAACAAAATTAAAATAACTAATTGGAATTAATATACAGAGGGTTGCCAAAAGTTTATGGACACTTTTATTTTTTTAATTATACTATATTTATTTTTTTAATTATAGT